ATTCTGAGCCATATCTGATAACGTCTCTAGACACTGCGTCGCACCATCTCTAGGACCCCAGCCAGGGAGTCGTGAAGGACCAACACAAGCCAGTCCTTTGCAGCTTTCTTTCATACCACGACACCATGTCATGCACTTACTACCTCTCCGCTTTTTCCAACCAGTCCCAGAGTCAGCAAATAATGCACGACGTGGAATTCTCTGGGGTGACATTCGTAGAAAATATCCAAGCCACCAAAGTCGGTGTTACTCAAATGGTGTTGCCACTGGATGTCAGCAATTTTTCGGAGACAACGATGATCAAACACAGAGTCGTCCAACATCCTCAACTCGGAGAGGCCAGGTTTCACAAGCATAGATCAAAACTGCTCTCACCGACGCGTTGTAGATCCGACCTTTCACAGCCAGACTAACATCACGAAGGCGCCAAAGGTGGCCCAGATTGGCATAAGCCGCTCTGGCTTTCACTATACGTGCATTGATCTCATCACTCCCACTCCCACCAGCATTTATGCGGCTACCCAGATACACGAATTTCTCAACTACTTCTATCTGCTCACCATCCAGGGTGAGTACAGGATTAGAATCCTACGTCTCGTAGAAGTACTTTGCACTTCGAAGGTGCAAAGCTCACACCGTACCTACGGACACTGATTGCCATCTGATTAAGTGCGGATTGCATGGCTTGGGCATTATCGCACAGTAAAACAACATCATCCCCATACTCGAGGTCGAGAAGTCTTTCTCCAGGCAACAGATCCACACCACTATTACTTACATTCATCAGAGCTGTTTCCAGAATGTCATCGATGGCAAAGTTGAAAAGGAAGAGTGAGATTGGGCAACCCTGCCTAACCCCACTGCTCCAATGGAACAATGGAGAGAGGTGGTTGTATGCCCTCACTCTCCTCGAGATGCTTGTATATAGGGCTTTTAGGATGTTAATAAACTTCTCAGGCACACCCTTCTTCAATAGACAATCCCAGAGAACAGTCCTATCCAACGAATCGAAGGCAGCCCTGATGTCAAGAAACACTACGATTGTTGGCCTTTGATAAGTATGGCGGTGTTCTAACATTTTGCGTAGCGTGAAGATATGATCAATACATCCTCGACCAGAACGAAAACCAGCCTGCTCCTCGCGAGTCAATTTTTCTCGGGTTTGGAACAACCTACAAAGTATGACAGAAGACGCCCGACCTGAGCATTCAAGTCTCCGGCTAGTACTACAATATCTGTCGAACGCACTTTCTGGAGAAGAACAGTTAACTGGTGGTAGAATTCATCCTTAATTGCATCCGGCATGCAATCTGTCGGGTCATAGGCGGAGATGATGGAACTTTCTAATCTAACAGCACATAACCGACTGTTAATGAGGATCCAATTGATTAGTGCTGCCTTAGCTCTAGCGCTTAGTGCGACACCAACGCCAACAAGACTAGACGAAGATGCCACAAGGTCCCCCGATAAACGCACGTAACACAAGCCTCTCAAAGTGATACATGGAGAGCGAATCTGCAGCACATCACCAGAGTCTTGAATACGGGTCTCGGATAGACAACAAACGTCGATATTACGACTTTCCAAAGACAACCAACCCTATCTGTTGTCCGACCTGCATTCAAGTTCGAACGTTGAAGGCAGCCAGTTTGAATGGTGCGCGTGGTTTCAGAAAAATTGCTTCAGTATTCGTATTTGGTGGTAGCATACAATTTTCAACCAGCCAGTGACTCGAGAACGTTTAGATAGAACTGAGTTTCCACCATAAGCGGGCTGCTGTATAAGTCGAAAAATAAAGATACATAAAGTGGGAATAAAAGAGAGTGAATAAATGACGTAGTAAATAATAATAACAACAATGTGCATCGTTTGACCGTTAATGGAAGCAAGTGTAGAATTATCCGTAATTATCGTCATTTCCTTCTGTTTGTGTGGGCTGTGATATCTCCCGGGTGCCCAAACAGAAGCAGGTGGTTTTCTTAAGAGGCCAAACCCCGAGCCTTTGACCTAAATGTCCGACCCACAAGGCGGTGGAGGATCGTGAGATGTGGTCCCATGGCAGCCCGTGACCAACAATTAGTTCATACGCCATTTGTTCTCTCAGGGTACTAGGGCCCATGTGCACCATTGGTTTGGGATCCGGTTAAAGCGACATACATCCGCTTTTCGTTCTCTCAATTTCGTAAGCAACACCCCCACCACGAGAAGGAAGGCAGTGAGTAAGACTTTCCTGGCAAAGCTGTATACGTGTGGCCGTGTGAGAGCCTTTCGAGAGGGAGGGCGGGCGGTCCCACCCCACTTTCGACCATGCTAGGGCATTTGGGGGCAATAACAAATCTCTTACTCAAGTTTATTCTTTTTTCCCTGACGTTTGGTTTTATTCCCAATAAAATAAGGACTGGTAAACATGGTTGAAAAACACTTAACATAATTCCGGAAATTTACTATAGAGTACTTAAGAATGAGCGGTTTGTTTAACTGTCATTTGGAAATAACTTCATATATTCTTGATGGTTTGTTTTAATTATGCTGTAAATATATTATTTCCTGTTCTGTTCAGTTTCCCGATTCATATCACTCGCAGTTTCTAATGGTTTTGGTTGAAGGGCACCCATGAAATTAAACGACTCTATGCTAAGACGGGATAAAGCGCAGGTTTGCTTTAATTTGGAGTAATTTTTGTCATGTATCATGCGCATTGCATTAACTAGGTTTAAATTTATAGCTTAAAAATTATCACATTCCTATTCTGATTTTAACTACTTAGATGAACAACACAGATAAGTTGCTTAAACTAGGAAGTCTCCTTACATGATCTGATGTGATGTGTTTTGAAGCATGTTAACTGACAACAAGCTATATCAAAAAAGTTTACCATAGCTCCAGTTGACTTCTAAAAATATGTTCATTGGATCGACAGTTACATAAATTAGTTTCATCTGAATAAAAATGCGTAATAATTTAGTTCATTATATTTTTTCTCTTAGTAATAAAATCAACTGATCTATGGATTAAATACTACTGGACTATTTTCCGTCCATGTATGATTTGTAACTATGCAGAAAGCACTTAGGAATTTTGAATAAAACAATGTAATTTTCAACATAAGCATTAAAAAAATGTCGAAATAAATAAGGCACCACGTGACCAACCTGTTTTATCATTTCACAAAGTAATTTTTCAGCAATTATGTTGTATACAATGCTTGTACAGAACAACAAATTATGCATATATATCACACTCTAATTATGGAGAAAAGTCAAACTATTTTGATGTCTGTTTACTTATACAAACGAGAGCACGTGGAGCTTGTCTGAGACCAATCGCTGTCCATCTTTTCTGAAAATAGACACCTACCACAACAAATTTATATTTCAGTTGCCATAGTATTTCTGGTAATTCCTACTAACACAGAATTTACAAAAACACAGTGAATACTTTGGGGGGAGAGCCATTCAGTTTCTAGTAACTGGAACAATTTCTCTGGAAGAAGACTGAAAGGTAATAAAGAGTGGTGGTTGTTGATAGATAGACTGCTTCTTATCATCAATTTTCGAATTTTTGAGACGCTTGTACTCCAAAGACTTCGATATCAATGAAGGAGATTGTTTCCTTCTCCGAATACTGACTAAAGCTTGTTAGACGTTTTGTTGATAGAAATCCAAAAAGACTGATCCCTATTTGAATTCATTCCATTGTATACAGATTCCACTCAATGATTAATAATCAAAGAAAGTCAAAATGAACAATTATCATACAGAATTAGTATAATTGAATACTATACTGAACAAAAGTCAAGTAATTGAAAAAATCACACTGAAGTAATTAATACCAATTAATGTTACAGTGAGCAAAAGTTACGATGAGCTCATACGAGAATCAACTAGATGGAAATCACGTTCAAATTAATACATAGTTTTTCACAATTTCTTATTAACAAAATTGGATTGCTCATAAAACCCTTAAACATTTTGAAAAGAGCAAGAACAAACATTCTAGCAGAATAGCATGAATTCATTTTTATTTCGTTGGTTCTCGTCAGCTGCTTACAACCTGTGATATTTAAAATCATAATTAATGGGTTAAAATTACTTACATAAAAGAGTTTGATTGGAAGTTATATTAAAGACATATTCATATAGTATAACAAGGGTTTAAATAAATTTAACAGACTGAATATTGTAAATATATACCTTATGTGATGAAAGAACATTGTGACAACAGTTCAAACGGTTAGAAACAAATAAACCTTGATAGGAATAAAATGAGTAGAGTTCAGTTGATAAAATAAAATAAGATAGTTGGAATAAAACTCAATGGTGTAATAAATGCATGAAAGAGTTTAAAGAAAAAGAAATTATTAAGATATAACGAAGGAATATTAATCACCAAGGCAAGTAAAGATTAATAACCATCTCCTTTTGAACACATAAATCAGGCTTTTGGCGCCTGATAGCAACTGCTTCAGCAAACTTCAGAAGACTGGAGTTTGGCTGCTTACTAATCACCTTGAATGATTGTAGGGTATCGACCTGATGTCCTGTATCAAGAAGATGTTTGGTGATTGCACTATTTAGAGTCTTTCTTTCTCTTGTTCTGAGGCTTTTTGGGACATGTTCAAAAAATCTGAGATATGCCCTCCTTTCTGTTCGGCCAATGTAGCTGCTTTGGCAGGTACACGTAAATTTATAAATACAATTGGCGGTAACATGAAAAGGATGCTTATCAACTTTTGATTGAGTTATTGAGCATGTTGTTTTATACAGAATTTGAAGTTTGGCCGCCGGATAAGTTCTGGCTAGCGCAGTATTCAGTCTCCTGTTGATTGTGTTTGCAACCTCATCACCTTTGAAGTTAAGACTTATAGTTATTGGTTTTTTATTGACAGTAATTACTTCAGTATTGTTTTCTTTACGCTTCTTATACTTGTCAACAAACTTTTGTGTGTAAAAGTTGTCTCGCAGGCATTTTTCTACTTTCATCAATTCTTCTTCGAGTTTGTCAGTGGTACATATCTTTTCTGCCCTATAAAATAGTGTTTTAACTAATGCCTTATTGTAACTGAGTGGACAAAAGCTATTGAAATTCAGGTAAATGCCATTCCAAGTACTTTTTCGATAAATCGAACGTTGGACTGTCCCGTCTCTCCTACGTTTTATAGCAACATCAAGAAAGTGGAACATGTCATTCTGTTCGTGTTCCATAGTAAATTGTATGTTAGGATGAGCGTTATTTAAGTGTTGAATTCGGAAACTTCTTTCATAGTTCATCCTTATAGCATCAAAATACTTCATAAATTATAATAGTATAGATATGCCGTATTGGGGAAAGAGCTTAAATAAACTATTTCTAGTACTCAGTTCCTACTTTGTACCCACTTATAACCTACAAACCTGTTTACCTCCAAATCGTGATTGCACGATCGATTTATTGGTTCCCTATAAAATTAAATCTATAGATTTAAGTGAGTAATAACATTTGAAGTATATTAAGATGTAGGAAAAGACTTGAAGTTTCTAACGGAAACCTCAAAAAAATCTAATATATTGTGTAATCAATCTATATAGTCTTTAGAACTAAATAAAAAAAGAAAACACGATTATAATTTTGTAAACTTTATTTAGAACAACAGGAAACAAAAATAATCAAAACACTACTTGGTGTTTGCATGATTTTCTGTTGTATTACCATTTTGTCCAGAAACCTAGATAAATGAACGTAAAAATTATTAGTTGAGTATTCTTGTTCATATTAAGAAAATAATTAACTCAGTGTGGTGTGTGCTACTTATATTGACATAAGTAGTAGATGATGTCAGTCGTGAACAGAATGTCTGGCAGCAGAGAAACAAGAGGATCGAACAGTAAAGAATGGAAACAGAATGCAATCTGTATGAAAATGCAAGAATAGTGAAGTCTGATTCATTTTGAGACAATTGGTGGACATTTTGCAAATTAAGCATTTAATTTATGATTGTTAGATTTTATTAACAAGTCCTGTAATTTTGTGTTAAATACATTCGATTGTTCCCACTGGTGTCCTTGTTCGCTAAATCAGAATCTATGGGTATATAGATAAAACTGACTAATATAACATTTTACCCACTAACTGCTCTAGTTTAGAAAAATGGAGACTTAACAGCATAGTACTTCTGTCAGGTTGCAGTAGACTGAAGGAAATAACGAATTAAAAGAAGGCATATAAATGAAACCTGTGATTAAAAGACATTAACTAGATTTTTCTATTATAGTTGTAGTTATTGAACCTGATTATCTACTTTGTAAAAATTCCAATAGGTAGGTCAGTATTTCCTAATATGATAGTTGATGAACCTAGTGACGGTCGCAACATCTCGAACTAGATTAAGTTGACTTGGTCATTCAGTCATCAACATAGAGGCAGACAAAGATGCGAATCGGTCCAAGTTGCCGTAGCACATTAGCGCAAGATGACAATAACTAAGATGAACGAAAACACATGGTACAGAGGTGTATGCAGGAATACTGAAATTCAATATCCAGAATAAGATAAGTTGTGAATGCTTCTTCATGTCGAATCTCTAGACAGTAATCACGGTTACTGCGTGGACCCCAACCAAGTAGACTACATCTAACAACACAGCCCAGATCAATATTCTCTGGCTTTATGGACAGATGGTTCGGCCGACCCTAGTTTTCTTCCAGCATACTATTACGCCCTCAAACAACGCCTTACGTAACATGTTATAATCACCCAAATGGATAAAAATTTACAATCTCACCAACTGATCTGCCACTTTGCCTAATACTAAAAGCCTAACCTTAGCATCATTCAATAGGCAGTCCCACACAACGTGACCAAGGCTTGGGAGACAGTTATGATAAAAAGTACTCAGCCTACTTATCCCCTCTACTTTCGATTTTTATGTCTCATAGCTATGAAATGATGCACAGAACAATGTACATGCATTTTAGTTGGTAGACAGGCATCTTGCCTACACAAAAAGAGGAGAAAGTTAGCAAAAGGCAGTCAGACTATTTGTATTCGTGTACCGATTTACTCAGACACCAACCAGCCAGTGTTGATGGAACTCAAGATAAATGAAGTTATCAACACACAAAACCATTTCGTTCTCTAAAGCGGTAATGCACAACATTTCTGAAAGCTGCATTTTGCCTACGTCTTTATCAAATAGGACTAGATCACCTAAGTATTCTTAGTCGATAAGCAAACCTCGTGACAAAAGGTCAACCTCTGAAAAGTTAGGTGAATGGAGTTATTTCTAGAAGGACATTACAGAAAAGTTAAATAAAACGTTGGGTAGTGAGCGACCATGCTGAAAAGCACTTGAGGTCAACAATTCTGGTGAAAAATAACCATAAACTTTGACTCAGCCAATAGTATTCAAGTGGAGAGCCTGTACAAGGTTTACAAGCCTTTTTTATACACTTTTCGATAACGAACATTGACATACAACCTTTAGTTCAACAGAGTAAAACGAGACCAGAAGACCAAGGAACAAAATTAAGGTTGTGTATCGGTACGTACGCCTGGGTTCCAAAACCAGGCGAAGAGGGAGAATTTGATCAATACATCCATGTCCAAGTATGAAAGTAGCCTGATTGTTTCAGGTTCGATCTTTATGAGCCCTAGTTAGGCGGTAGATGATTAGAGTACGTTAGATCCTACACTAATCAAAATGATTCTTTTATGATTATCACAACAGAATTATTCTTTCTTGTAAACTGGAGAGATTGAGATCGAAGCCAGTCAGATGGGATTATGTCCAGCTCTCAAACTTCAGTTTCTAGAACTGGACAACCATCTTTATGGATCTTATTACGGTTCACCGCTCTTCATCTTATAGTTCTGCTTCTATTTTATTCGTTTCTTAACAAAAAATCTCACAAGGTATTAAAAATACTCTATACAAAACAAAGATAGGATAGTCATATAATTAGAATATCAAAGTTCATGTCTCAGACCAGAACACAAGATGGGTTTCGATATAGTATTCTAATAATACCGCCGATTTTATTGTGGAGTACCTTTCATAAAGACTTAAGTTACTAAATGGTATAATTTCTAGGATTTCATCAACGCAGATGTAATGGGCGGCCACCAAGAACTAAATCATCGTAAAAATCATGGATTTTACGGGGACCTGTCATTAACTGATCATATCTTTCATTTACCACTTTTGTAAGAATAAGATCGAATGGACTCTGAATTTTACGCTTTAAGTGTGACAGAAAATATCAAAGATTTTCAGACCTTAATTCACATATACGGAATGGCTTAGAATAAACGTTTTCTGTGTTAGAGCAGAATATGATATTTAAAAAGAAAAAGTAATGAAAGCGAACTTAGGTCAAAACTTAAATCATCAACCAGAAATAACAAACTAGCTTACAGTTATAACATCCCAGCTATTCTAATTAATTGTTGATTTTGAGCTAAAGAATACCATCGGTAAGGGTGATATGTATCCGTATGTTTCGGAATATATTAAGTTAATCCTTGTGAAACTTATCAGTGTTTTGTTTAATATGATCTTTCTAGATAACCAGTAAACGTTTATTTTAGGATGTTGTAATTTGTTGCACAGATCTAAGCTCTTTACAATCTTGATAAGCAGGCAGAATTTTTCCTGAAGAATAGTGTACCGTCTCAGTCAGTCAGCTAAAACGTAGGACCAGGCACATATAAACATCGGTCCAAGTTGCCATACCGCATTAGCACAGCAAGATGAACACCAAATTCATAGAAGTAGTTAATCCAGAGGTGGTAATATATAAAAGAAAGATTGCATATAAGGATATAGTACAGGAAGAAAGAATTATTACGTAGAAAGATATGAAGCGATTTTAATCTCATAGTTTAAGGGAAGACAGAGAGTGTATACACCTACCCAATTGTGATCGATTCTGAGCCATGTCACCCACAGTATCCAACCACTAGTTACAATAGTCACACAGACTAAAACAAAGTAGTCTGCATCTACCAACACGGTTCAAACTAGGAGTTTGTGACTCCAAGAAATGATGACACGTTTCGGCTTGGCCACCCCTAACTTTCTTCCAACAGTCTCCAACACTTGTCAGCATTGCAACTCGTGGTAAACGACGTTTAAAAATATGTCAGACGTGGCCCAACCAACTCAGTCGATGAAGATTCACCAACTCATCGATTGATTTACCATCATTCCCTAATACTCTGAGCCTAACCTCATTATTACTCACTATTACCCAATGATCCCAGCAGTGCTGGAAATCTTTCTGAAACATATGAATCAAATACTAGTAACTTGCAAGTACCCTCTCTCTATCCCTACTAGCCACGTCTCGCAGCCACAAAGTAAAACACAACCAACTGCTGCGTTGTATACGCGACCCTTAATTGATAGACGGATATCTCGCCTTCACCATAGATGAAGTAAGTTGGCATAAGCCAAACGACCACTTCGAATCCGTGATGAGATTTCGTCTGACACCAACCCATTAGGGCTGGTCAGATTTCCAAGACAAGTGAAGTTGTCAGCGTGTTCGACTACTTCACTCCCTATCCACAGTTCATGTGTTGACCCAAGTCAGCGCTGAAGCAACAACTTGCATTTAGAGGGGGAGAAACACATCCCAAACATCCTGACATTGTTGCTCAGTGCTACCAAAATACTCTGCATTTTATCCATGTCTTCACCAAACAGCACTATGTCATTTGTGTATTCTAAGTCAATAAGTAGCCCTCATTGTAGGAGGTCAATCCCAGAAAATTCAGTCAACGAGAACGTTATTTCCAGCAGTAGGTCTATGATGAAATTGAACAAAAATGGAGATAGTGGACTGCCTTGACGGACAACACTTGAGGTTGAAAAATCAGATGAATACTATCCATAAGCACTGACCCGACTGGTGGTGTCCGAGTAAATAGCCTTCACAAGGTTTATGTACTTCTGAGGAACACTTTTCAATGACACTGACACAGAACCTCTCGGTCTACAGAGTCAAATGCTGCTTTTAAGTCAATATAAACTTTCATTGTCGGACGCCGATAAGCATGTCTGTGTTCTAAGATCTGGCGAATGGTGAATATGTGGTCGATGCAGCCACGACCAGGTCTGAAGCCAGACTGATTTCCTCGTGTTTGCAGTTCATTAGTTTTAGCTAGGCGACCGTTTTAAAAGACATGAAGGCCTTATCTAACCTATAATTTTAAAATCGTTTTCTATTTCAGTTAAAACAAATATTTGAGATAGTTTAAAATAAAAGTTTGTCATCAAAACATACTGCTGTATCACACGAAGCATCCTGATTAACAAACATGGAAGGATCAAATACACCTTGGGTAACCGCCATTTCAGTTTTAAGTGAGCTTAGTTCACTTAGGAAGTTTTGTGCCACCTCTTGTTGAACACTGGGAGTTAGAGAATCCCAATTGTGAAGGTAAGTCCAAGGTTCTTCAAGAACTTTTTGATATGCTATTGAATTTTGCAAACAAGATAAATCCATGTGAGGAACAACGAATTCATCATCTAAAAAGTAAGGAAACAGTAGTAATGAATTTAATTTTTGAGATCTCAGAATAAAATTAGCACTCACTAACAAAAGGTAGAATGCAAAATGAAATATCAAATTAGCAGTCAAACTATCGGAACATATAGGCGAATCTCAGAACTATCTAACTTTATATAGTAATGGTACGCTATCTAAGTCCACAAAATAGTATGTGATAAACTTAATTTCTCGTTATTAAAGAAAAGTAAGCTGATGCATACTGATCGCTAATTTACTAGAGAACTAAACAATGATAAAACTATTTAGATAAAGATACAGAACTAGGACGTACACTAATAAGTGTTTTACAGAAGTCTAGATTACAGTTCTTCCATACTATTCAAGTAAGGATTGGTTAGAGAAAATATTATAGACTTAGATTTATATGAGATCAATTTAACGCTGAAAACCTTACTCTACTGTAAAGAACTAGACTTTTTCCATACTATTTTTGATGATCATTTAGTGTCCTGTTGACCTGGCATCAATTTGAATTAATGAATGTGTCATGAGTGTAAATCTTCCGTTTAATTTCATACATTAGACATACACTAACCCCGTTTCTGCGACGGTGGTAATAAGAAGCCAAATACGGATTAAGGTGGATGAATTTATCTCAGGCAGATATCAAAATGAGAAGTAAGAATGCGAAGCGAAGACAAGCGTGCCAACTCGATTTGATGTGGTGTAACTCCCCATTTTTATTCAGACAAAAACAAGCTAAAGACATGTGATGAATAGAGCAAGCGATACACGCATGCTTAAATGAAAACAGTTAAGGTTATGGGAAGCAGTTAACAAGGTCAAACTGTGACTCAGGCATAAGAAATTGGTCTGTATGAAGGCTAGAATAACCCTTGGAGAAATGACATAGTACTAGACTCTACAATCGCACCATTTATGTAAACATCTGTTTGTAAAAGCGAAAGGACAAAATCATGATTTAAAATTTTAACAGCACTAATCTAATTTCACATAATTCTATAGTCCTGAAGTACAAAGCAGAATTAACATTTTCTCGTGCATGGTCCACCATGAACGATAAAACGGCTTATTGAACAGTGGCCTAGGGTTTTCAAACAGTCTAAACGCCAAAATTTTTTACCAGAATCATTTTAACAAAGCTTAGTCCACCGTCAGCTATTATAGTGATGTCTGGTATACAAGTCGACATTTGGATGTTATCGAACATAGCAAACAGGTTTACGATACTATTCATCTTGGTGGGGTTTCGTTCTCTGAGTCAATTGGTTTAGTCATGAAGCTTTCATCTTCCAACGCCACTACGACAAACTTTGAACAGATTTACCAGCGTTGAAAAAACCTGACTGTTGAGAGTTATTTGTGATGGGTTCCTGATATTTCTGAACAAATCTAAGGAGTGGTAACTACATCTGCAAGTCTTGTTTCATGTGCACTACGATGAAATCGGTAAACTATTTAATTTGTTTTATTTTAACACATAGATATTGGTACAAGGAGGCACCAAATGAATATGCACCACACATCTCATTTGATATGTGTGAGGGCTGTGATACTATCCGGGTGCCCAAACTGAGGCAGATGGTTTTCTTAGGGGGCTACACCCGGAGCCTTCGACCTGAAAGTCTGATCCACAAGGCAGTGGAGCATCGTAAGGAGATGCAGTCCCATGGTAGCCGGTGACCAATAATTGGTTCATACGCCATTTGTTCCCTCAGGGTACTGGAACCCACGTGCACCATTGGTTTGGAATTAGGGTTTTCCAACTCCCTTAGGTGAACTTTTCATGTCCACTAACCCGGTTAAAACGCCGGACATTCGCTTTTCGTCATCTCAATTTCGTAAACAACACCCCGGCCACGAGAAGGCAATGAGTAGGACTTACCTGGCAGAGGCTATATACGCGTGGCCATGTGAGAGCATTTCGAGAGGGTGAGCGGGCTCTCCCAACTTTTGACCGTACTAGGGCATTTGGGGGCGTCGGTAAACAAACCTCAGTACGCAAAGCAGGTAATAATAGTACCTGGAGATCCATGCAAAGGACCGTTCTTAGATTGTCGCTGATATCGACGTTGAAGAATGGTAAGTATGGGCAACCCTGCTAGATCAGAATAACGGAGAAAGGTGACTGTAAACGTTTTCCATGTCTAAAGTGTGTACAGAACCTTTACGATGTTAAAAAGCTCCTTAGTCACTACGTTATTCAACAGACAATCCCAAGGTGCAGAGCTGCCCAACGAATTGAAAACGGTTTTGGTATCAAGAAACACGTCTGTATCAAGTGTGGAAGGGCACTAACAGTTCTCAGAGGGCGACGATGTGATCAATGAGTCCATGATCTCCTGCCTCCTGAGGATCAGTCTTCTATGGATTTCGTAGTCATGATCGAAGTCAATATCTTGGATGCAATCAAAAGTAATTGTTACCTACATCACACTAACGATAAATATCCGTCAATTAGTATAAAAAAGTGATTTTTAATTCGGACGTCATTATAGTCAAGTTATTTGTAATCAAACAAAGTTTATTTTCTGTACTTTTCATATCGAATCAGCTTCATTAAAGAACAACAAGCGTTCCCTCATCGTGATGTAGCAGTACATACGCAATGTTCAAACATTCTACATCTTTAATTTTTGATACAAACATCATCGCAACAATCAACACAGCCATGAACGTAAACATTATCTTTTACAGTAAATTGCTAAGTGGTAGCCACGATAATACCGGTTCAAAGATCAGATGGAATTACAAAACTAACAAGTGGGTATATTTAAATTCACAACGTATTTGATAGACTATTTCAAGGAGTCGATACTTAACAATTCCAAAATAACAAAACTCCTCCATGATAAAGTAAAGACACAAGTTGAGAATACCTGGGTTTGGCAGAGTTCGGTTAACAACTCGACTATTCTGAGCGTATTGATGTATACGGCTTCAGAGCAGAAGCTTTCTAACGATCAATTCACTAACAAATATAAAATTATTAGTCCTAGGTGACTTTCAATGGTACGCCAAAATACACTACGAAATCACTAGAGATGTATAGCGACTAATCAAAAAATTTTACGTTATATTTTTGACCAGTAATTATGGTTAAGCACTAAAAACAAGTATAGATTACGCAACTCACACCGTGCGTTAACAATAGAAGGTAAGTACGTTTAAATTCCACCAAACGTTTCTTTAAATATGTCGTTCTTGATTATCTTTAGGTTTAATACATACCTATGGATAACCTGGATGATGTTCACCAAATACCTGTAGAGGCTTGGCTCCACACTGAGATGCTACCTCTGTGTATCTGCAAACGTTTCTCTACATGCCATAAGTAGTAAATGCGTGGACTCAATAAAACCAGAAAAATGGAACCGCATGTTAGACCTAATGAATAACTCAACAATATTCATGAATATTTTACATACTCTCAACTTTGTGGGAAAGCTAACGGGAAATTTCAGAGGAATGTAGTTCGGGAATTCAGTAGGAAGTTATAAGAAACGATATAAAATAGGTTTTTGCATTCTTTTCAGAACTCATCTAGAAGGCCAAATTTCTGAGAATGTATACCAGATTAGTTGCTCAAAGTTCCCAGCACCAGCGTTAACCCAATCCATGGTTTCCTTTGGTGTTGGACACTGCCTGCAGATACACAATTGTTTGTTAACTAGCAAACTACTAAGCATAACTAGTACTTATTGATTACACTAATAACGACGCGATCTATGCTAAGGGAGAATTTCCTTATCATAGAACAAACTGGACGCTAACTTGTTCTTGTATACGAACTGAACTGCAAGGATGAACTTAATTAGACATTACAGTGAATGATAACAACAATTTAAGTTATGCACACTTCAAACAAGGAATTCCAGTCCTTCTACGTTGTCATAGATCACTGCAAAATTACGATTTGAGTTCTGACCGAACTATTCGCTAACACTATGCAGTGTAAGACGTCAAACGGAAATAGGTAAGGATATTTCTGTATATTACTGGAGGTACTTACGCAGCAGAAATTCCTGATGAGGCCATAATCTATGAACGAACTAATCAAATTTAAGATCGATCTTTGGATTTGGCGAGAAATTCAATTACTCATACTGCTAAATATAATATTGGTATCATAGCTGGTGTCAGTTCGCGATGAAAACATTTTGTCTAAATCCCAATCTTTACGTTTCTCATTCCTTACATCAACATAAAATCCTCATTTAATCCTAATAAGTTTGTAGACATTCCATGGTCATTTCAGAGTTGCTCAAATTAAATTATAGTCTCACTAAATTTCTGTTGGATTTTGAAAAAGATCAATATCCCTTCATCGATATTCAGAATCTGAGCAATTTCCACAACGTTGCTGTGTCGGAGTTTTTATAAAATTTTAGAGAAGTCCTCAAAAGCCAATGAATTGTTTGTGGAAGTTCACTGGACTAGTTTAAATTTTGCGATTCGGTGCTGTCTTTATTCCGAAGTTACCACTGAGTCTATCAATTCCTCCAAAACGTCGAAATTTTGTAATACTTGAGTGGCACCAAATAAAATATTTTAATTTTGCAAACAATGAAGAACAATATGCCTTCAAATAACTACCTTGAGAAACCATGCCTTAAGGCAACGTTACGTTTTAAAAATGGTGCTAGTAAACCTCTAGCAAAACTTACATGATAAATTCAGCATTTCTTAACCAGTAATGTCAATTCTTGTGAAATGCGAAATTCGTTTTCATTGTCTTCATATTTCTCTCGCGGCTCTTAGATTCAACAGTCTACAAGAATTCTACTGTTTTCGTAATTATGAATGTATTTAATAAGTAATTTTTTTATGATGAGCATTTTTCACAGTTGTACACAGCTTGCACAGTCTCTTTTGTTGAATGTCGTGTCGCTGTTCAACTTTTTCATTGATCTGTTATCTCTCGGTTCTTTGTTCGCTTGAAACTGATTCTCACTGTCACATACTCTGGTGCATACACATTTCCAGTTCTATAACGGACATCTTGTATATCAGCAATCCATGTTAAAACATTGTATTAATATTTCCATTACGTAATTATTCCGTATACCTATTATCTTTGATTATATTTATTATACTTAGAATCCTAGCGTATTTCTTTTAACTGAGGATTACTAAATCAAAACTCAAAACTTCGTATGAATTTTGTTTATTATATTTGTGGTTGGATGTATTATCAACTATCTTCGTACTTTTTGTAATAACTCTATCATCATTTCTGAACTTGGTCCACCGCACTGTCTTTACAGTTAATAATTTCATTTTGGAAAGAGAGATAAGTAAGAAGGCTTCAGTTGGTTGCATACATTGCGCATAAATGAAGATCTGCATAAATTCTGGGCTATCGAGTTCAGCTATAAGACGGTGGAATGTAATGGATTGTAGACAATCTGTGACTTTATCTGCAAGTTCTGGGTCCCTATGGATAATGGACTGGATTGAGAAAACGAAAAAAGTGTTTTAAATCATAAATTGGTTGATTTTAGTTGACAGATTTCTCTATAGATACTCAATTTAGTGTCAACAACTCTAGCAGCTGTTGGTTAGGTAAATATATTAATTTTAAATTTCATTGTTTACAAACTCTGGATCACGTTATTTTTGTAAAAAAGGTACTGAATCCTACACTTTACATCAGTATGAATCTAGGGGCATTGTTTCACCATACACCTAACACCCGACCATTCTATTAGTAGGTCCAGATCTCTCATGATAATATTCATGTCAATAGATCGTCGGGATGTGAAATGATCAACGATATTAGAAAACCGAAAATATATTTCATACATAAGATGAGTAAGATACAGCTTGCAATGTATTTCTAGTTTGATGAAAACATTCTAAGGCCAAGCCGAATTATCTCACAGACTCACCGTACCCTTGAATCAAAATACTGATCACTGAAAGCTGAATCATCTACAAAACTCTATATCTATACCATGGAAGAACTGAATAATTCGCCTACTGATGCTGGTGAGTGTGGCTACCTGTAGGTTCCTATACCTAATTTCTCATATCCGTCATGACAAGTGTGTCAAATTCCGCTTAGTAAAATTCTGCCTTTGTTCTGAAGGCCTTGCTGAACAAGGGCAGCCTGACAACTTAGTCAGAATGAATGAGGCTGAAACAGATCAAATGTAGTGACTCTAGTAAAAAAATTGTTTGAGTTGAACAGTCATAACATTATATTTTAACTCTTGAGAGCCAGGATGTTTAGTCGGACTGTATAAGCAAGCTTTATAGACCATTTATTGTCAAACACCTACACTTGTTTTCTGGTGCACTACATTAACCACCACTTTTCAGCTTATCATTATTCCATACTATTCGCCTGCGTGCAACACAACAGTCAGCCTTTCACAGAAGTGGATTTCTCTCGACTAGGATTTTTTAAATCTGATAGTACTTTTATCGGTTCGACTTAAAGGTAGATCTTCGGAAATCGTCGAACAACTACAGTATGTAGCTTCTGGTTTTTATGAGGACAAAGTTTCCCCAAAAGAAAAATAAACATGTTAAGCGTAGACTACATGCTGCAGGTTCGTTTTAATTTCCAGAAAATGACACGTTTCATTCAAACACAACTGTGTTAAGGAATGAACCGACAGGTTTCATGATGTAAGCAGCAAGCTGGTGTATTTGACTAGGATGCTCCTCAATAGGGTTTGTCGATCTTTCTATATCATAATTGTTCACTAGTCCGATAAACAGAGATATTAAATAGTCGCTTGTTTCAAGTTTTGGTTATAATGGTGTGTTGTCTTTGTGATGGAGGTACCTCAATATGCTAATACTCTTGCACAATAGTTCAGGAATGTCTCGGATTCATCGTACAAGTGTGGTGAGTTAGAATAATACACGAAAACAAGTGTTTCAGGTATCATGTGTATCGATTAGTGAGCGTGTTAATATTTAACAGCTTAAAGTAAATGTATGAAATTAGTGAAGATCACCAACGTAGGTGATGTATGTTAGAAACTGAAGGCCAACCCGAGTCAAACGAAAGTAGTGTTAGCAATCAGTGTACGTCAAAGTCACAACTCACAGTCAATACACAATGTAGACTAACGTTTGATCGTATCCAGGCATTATTTGGAATTTGATGACCATATACCAGAGTATAATGTTTCGAATTGTTTGAATTATAACACGAACTAAGGGTCCCAGAAATAACGCAATTGAATTAAGAAGCAAGACACAAGCATAAGCGGATGTATTGTATTTAGAATTCGAAATCGAGCATTCAACAAGTACAAAGGTATCATTAGTTCATTCAGACACCACATCCGCCACAGCTTAAATTGGAGTCTAGGTGTTTGTAATCAATCATACGTCTTCTTCTCAAATTCATCCTGAGTCTGTCTGACATTGTATTGGATAAGGATTCTGTATTATCTAGAATATGCTCATTAGCATTAGAATTAACAATCGAAATTGGAACTGACTCACCTGGTTCCTGAAAATGTATTTGATCTACATGTCGACTGTGTGTACTTAAGTCATCGATGTCTAGAATTCACACCATCGATTTTCCGACATTCTTCAGAACAATACCCGTAGATGGTCGAAGATCATTTCCTGTAGACTCCAAACATCTCATATTCGACCGAAGAATTCTTCCTTTCAATAGCTTCGCTGGAGTCTTCTTCGTCACCGAATATCTGGCATTTCTATATTGCAATAGAAAGGTATCTACTCCTCTCTCCAGCTCATTAAATGTTGAGAGGGCTATAGAATCAATAGCAGTCTTTAATGTCCTAACAAAATTCTCTGCCTGACCATTAGAACACGGATGTCTGGGAGCAGTAAACAGATGTTTGCACCCTATACCTTTCAACCAGGTAGTGACTGCATCTGCAGCAAAATGTGAGCCATTATCAGTCACCAACACCACGGGAACCCCTTCTCGACTAAACACCTTTCTTAATGCTTGTATTGTGAAATCAGAATTTGGTGGATTTGTGAAAAAACTTCAGGCCACTTTGAAAAAGAATCAATGACTACTAATGCGTAGTGTTTACCATGAAATGGTCCACAAAAGTCAGCATGAATCCTCTGCCAGGCCTCAGACGATACTGGCCATGGCACCCACTTCGAAGGATGATTTTTCAACTGATGACATTTCTCACAATTGTTTGCCGTACGACGTATATCTGCATTTATCTCTGGCCACCAGCATGTGAGCCTTGCCAAGGACTTCATTTTCTCAACACCTAAATGACCACTATGAAGATCTTCAAGAATAGATTTACGCAATGAAGGAGGAATGACAACACGATCATTTAAACACAGAATACCATCAGGAGTAGTAGATAGCTCATCCCGCTTTGAAAAATAGATAGGAACTCTACGTTTCAAATTAGCATTCCAACCTTTCCTTATAGCACTGAGTATACATCCAAAATATCTACGCGTTTCTCTAATGAGATCTGAACGTCTCACTGGTAAAGGTTGCACTAACGAACAATCCGAAGTATTAATAGGTTTATCTTGTAATGACTGTCGAGAAATGTAATCAACATGTTGAATCTGTTTCCCACTTCTGTGTTGAACCGTATAGTCATATGCACTCAAAGAAATACTCCATCGCTGAACCATAGCTGCTGAGGAACGTGCTAAGGATTTTTCGGGATGATAAATAAACTTTAAAGCTTCATGATCAGTAACAATAGTGAATTTCTTTCCGAATAAATATTTATGAAGTCTTTTAACAGCCCAAAACACAGCTAATGCTTCTCGCTGAGTCTGTGAATAACCTTGTTCAGTAACAGTAAGTTTGCGTGAAACACAAATAACTGGTCTAACTTTCTGTTCCAAAACTGCATCAATTCCCATAGGTGATGCATCAGTAATAAGCACAGAATGTACACTAGGGGAGTACGTTCGAAGAACAGCATCACTTTGAAGAAACTTTAGTAGAAAACGTAAGCATGACTCTTGCCCCTCACTTCATTTGAATGAATTGGATGTTAAAATACTAAATAAACAATTTGCACGACAAGAAAAATTAGGAATAAAACGGGAGTAGTATTGAAGAGCACCTACTAGTGAACGTAATTCTGTTAGATTTTTCGGAGACGGTGCATTAGTCAGTGGAGCTAGTCGTTTCATATCTGGTCTAAAACCATTACCATCAACTAGGTATCCAAGGCATTCAAAACTAGATGCACAAAATGAACACTTATTTGGATTCACTGTAATATTCTTTTCAATTGAACGACGCAATAAAGCAATAAGTCTCTGGTCATGAGCTACCTTATTCGAGCCATGAACAATGAGATCATCTTGATAAACTTCAACACCTTCAAGATCACTAACTACTTTATTCATAACTTCCTGAAATATGGCTGGAGAACAACTTAGACCAAATGGAAGGAAATTTTATTTGAACAGACCAAAAGGAGTGTTAATTGCCGTCAAAATAGATGAAGATTGATCCAAAGAAATTTGAAGATGAGCATCTTTTAAGTCAACTTTCGAGAACACTTTAGAACCATGAAGTCGATTTAGAATATCTTCAGCTTCAATCGTCGTGCACGTTTGCTTCAACAAACGGGAATTCAGAGTTAATCTATAGTCACCACAAATTCTAGGGGTGTTGCCGTCCGACTTCATTGGCGTAACGATAGGAGTA